AGCCCTGCTGTCCCGTGTGTCAGCGTGTGTTCCCGTCAGAGGCAGAGCTCCAAGACGTCATTAATGACATGCAGTCCAAGCTGCGGCTCGTCCCAGACAAACTAAAGAACACTGAGCATGACCTGAAGAGGAAGGAGCGCAGGCATGATGAAATGATGGAACTGAAGCCCATCAGGCAATAATAATTTGTTTTTGTTTTTTTTATCTGTCCATTCTTTTATCTCTATATTTATCTATCCTCCATTCATGCATCCTTCCATCTTTTACGTTGCCTATATTTCCATCCATCCTTCACCTATTTAACACTACATCCATGCATCCATTCTTCTGCTTTTTGTCCATTCATTCGTCCATCCACCTATTAAGCCCTTCATCCAGCCATCTGTCCGCCCACATATTTACCCCTCATCCATATATCCATCCGTCTTGCACTTCACATATTTATCCATCCATCCTTCACCCGTTTATCCGTTTATCATTTCATCCATCCATCCGTCCTACCTTTTGTCCATCCATTCGTCTGTCCACCTATTAACCTCTTCAACCAGCCATCTCTCCATCCATCCTATTTACCCTTTCATCCATCCATCCGTCTTTTACTTTACATATTTATCCATCCATCCTTCACCTGTTCATCACTTCTGCATCCATCCTCCTAACTCTGTTTTTGTCCATATATTAAACCTTTCAACCAGCCATCTGTCTGTCGTTCTATTTACTCCTTCACCTATCCATCCATCTGTCCACCTATCAACCCCTTTATTCAGCTATCTGTCCATCCACCTAGTTACTCCTTCAGCTATCCATCTATCCATCCATCTGTCCACCTATCAACCCCTTTATTCAGCTATCTGTCCATCCACTTAGTTACTCCTTCAGTTATCCATCTATCCATCCATCTGTCCACCTGTTTACCTCCTCATCTATTCATCCATCCATCCATTCACCTATTTACCCCCTTCATCCATCCAATCGTTAACCTATTTACTCCTCATCAATCCATCCACCCGTCCATTCATCCTATGTCCATCTGACCACCTATTTACTCCTTCATCCATCATCCATTTACCTATTTACCACTTCATCCATACATTTATCCATTCATCTGTCCACCTGTCTATCCATTCACCAATGTACCTCTTGATCATGCATCCACTCATCCATCCATTGAATTTTTACCCCTTCATCCATCCATTCACCTTATTACCCCTTCATACATTTGTCCATCCATCCATCTTTTTACCCCTACATCTATCCGTCTATCTGTTTACCCTTTGTTCATCCATCTGTTTACTTATTTAACCCTTTATCCATCCATCCACCTACCCATTTACCTTTTCATTCATCCTTCATTTTCATATTAATACTGCTTAAGATATTGATGAATAATTTTCTAACATGTCCATCTTCTGTACTGGTAGGCAGTCCATAGCGGAGCTCCAGGAGAAAGAGCTGCCAGAGCTCAGAAATAAACTCCAGCGTGTGAATCAAGACATTGAGAAGCTAAAAGAAGACACTGAGGAGCAAGAGACCCTGTTGTGCACACTGATGTCTGAGGAAAACACAGCCAAGGCCTGTCTGCAGGAAATATCACACATGGATCGCTATCAGGTGTGAGCTCATTTCCATTTAGTCCAAACACAGACAGTACAATCCAGTTAAATGCTGCACATCAGTACAACACAGCATACACTTTGAAGTCTTATTTATCACCTAGAACACTCAGAATAATTCAATGTTGTGATTCTTATTAAATATACACTCTTGTGCAAGTTTATAGAGACTTGCATCTGGAAACAGTATTCAATACGTCACGACTTAACAAGCAGTATTTTTATCCACCTGTGCATAATCAAAATGTTTCCTATTTTCTGTAGCTTGACCTGAAGGATGTAGAAAGGAAGATCTCTCAACATGCAGCCAGGCTGCAGGGAGTTGACCTCAGCCGCACCATGCAGCAGGTCAGCCAGGAGAAACAAGAGACCCAACACCGCCTGGACACCAGTATGTTCAGAACTTTATGTAGAAAAAAAACTTCTGTGAATCTCAAGTGAATATATACTACCGTTTAAATCTGTTATGCTCGCCAAGGCTGCATTTGTTTGATGATAATTAGAGCAAAAACAGTAATATTGTGAAGTATTATTACATTTAAAATATTTGATTTTAATATAAAGTTTAATTTATTCCTGTGATAGTGGAGTTGAATTTTCAGCAGCCATTCAAAAAAATAAAGTAAAATAAATTGAATGTGCCTTTTGCTGAACAAAAATATTAATTTCTTTAAAATAAAATTATTGACCCCAAATATTTCAACAGTCCTTGTACATTGTTTTAAACATTTGTCATATTGTTATTTGCTTATATACTGTTTATATTAATATATAAGGGAAAGTGTACAGCTTAGGTACTGTAAATGGCAGCTTTTAAAATATTTGTAATCACCTTTGCCTTCACTATTTATTTTTTTAAGTAGTTCTTTGCAGTGAATATCTGGATAAATAAGAAAAGGATGGGCCCTCAATTCATAAAAGTCATAAAAACGGCATGTATTATTGTCACACCACAGGACTTGTCAACTTCCCAAAGTATTTAATGTAAAATCAGTTCTAACATGTATTAAAACTGTGTGCTCAATTGATGTTTGTTCATTTGCTCCTTTTGTGTAGCCTGCAGTAAGATCGAGCTGAAGAGGAAACTGATTCAGGACCAGCAGGAGCAGATCCAGGCCTTGAGGAGCAGCGTAAATGAGATTCGTGGAGAAAAGCTCCAGATCTCCAGCAATATGCAGAAACATCAACAGTTGGAGGAGAAGTGTGTGGAGTTCTCCACTGAGATTCAAACACTCCACACAGACATTCGAGTGAGGAGCGCCCACTCTGCTTTAATGTGCCTTTTTATTCCTAAAGAGAAAAGTTTCATTTCATAGGTTCACTAAACACTGCATCAGTAGCTGACATGAACACCCTCCAGGTCTGACGATTACGAGCGGGTAGTCAGTCTTTCATGTTTGTCAGTCTGAGAAGTCTGTGTTTCACAGGATGATAAACCAGCAGTTACCGGCTGTATTGCATTGCAGTATACTGTAATTCCCACAGTGTCAGCTACAGATGCAGCATTGAGTGACCTATTACGTTTGTAACCTTGGTTCCCTGAGTATTAAGGGCAAGGTGATGCATAGCTTGCCATACTCCTCAGTATGTACTGCTTCCTTAGGCTTCCTTTGTAGAGAGTTCTGAGGAGTGTTGGCGCACACATGTCCTTTTGAGGCACATGCCCCATTCACACAGTAAATTACCCTAAAATTACAAGAATCAGGCACAAACGTGCTTTTCACACAAGCAACAACCCTTCATCTTTTTACTGTTAAGACACAATTCACATCAGTACCACCCTGGAGGGTGTATGTAAGGTACTGACATAGAATCTCGTTTTCTACTCCGGGAACCAGCGAGTACAAATGCCCTAAAACTATACACTGCTTAATTTGTACAAAGTAAAACTTAAATTCACAAAAGTAATGAAAATGGTCATATACACTACCGTTTATGGTCAGCAAGATTTTTTTTTTTTTTTTTAATAAATTAATACTTTATTCAGCAACAATGCATTAAACTGATTAAAAAGGAACATACTTTTACATTGTTACAAAAAAATCAATTTAAAATCAATTGTTGAAAAACATTATTACAGTTTACACAAAAACGGCTGTTTTCAAAATTGATAAGAAGGAATGTTTCTTGAGATTCGCATATTAGACTGGAGTAATGATGCTGAAATGTTTGGTTTTTCCATCACAGAAATAACTTGCATTTTAAAATATTTAATATCTCACCCAATAAATTGGCAAGCAAAAGATAATTATTTGAACAACAGAACCCAGACTTTTGAATGGTAGTGTAGTGTTCATCATGTTTTGTCTGTTTTTTAGGATGCAAAGGAGCTGGTGTCTCCTCTAGCTGCCACTCTGGAGAAGCTCCAGCAGGAGAAACAGGACCATGCTGAGCGCAGGAGACAGAAACAGGAGGAAGGACAGGAAAAGGTGTTGGTTAATTTGTTTTTGCATTAGTGTTTTATGTTTCATCCAACTTATATTTTCTTATTACTGTGCAATTATTTACCACAGTGTACTACATCAGAGGTTGTGGATATTTACTTTAATGCAAGATGAAGTCGTTGCTGATCATCAGAGTTGACTAAAGCTTAATACTTTCTTTTAGATAAATGGAATTAAGGAAAAAGTTAAAAACTTGACCCTCCTTGATAGAGAGATTAACAAGTACATAGAAGAGGGCAAGGACAGCTACAAAGAGGTACAACAAAATTATGTGCTTAGCTCTCGTTTCCTATATGCAATTTATTTTTCCATTTATTTTCTTGTTTACTTTTTGATTTCTTTAGCTACAAGAGGTGGACAAACAACTACACGAGACTGAAAAACAGCGAGAGAAGATCAATAAAGACATTGGCAACATTCGACAAGATATTGACACTCAGAAGGTGCCAAGCAAAGCTTGCTGTGTTTTTGCTTGTGTTATTGCATAGGCCTATGTTTTGGTGTATATACTTCTAATACTGTGCTCATGTACACATCAAAAGTGCTTAAAAACTAATACCATGCAGCTAACAGCATTCCGAGAGATCGAAATGTCAGTGGATTGTCTGTGACATAAATTTATAGTAATATTCACACCTGTGAAGTTAGGTGGCTGATGACATGTACAATGTCCAAAAGTATAAATCTCAGATTTAAAATCGCATTTACACCTGGAAATAAAAGTTTAGAAAAAGTTGAAACAGAAATGTTTTAAACATTTAATATTCTACATTTTTTCTAGGTCACACATTGGCTGCGTTTACACTTGGCATTAACATGCGATCACTGTGGTCCGATCAAGCAGATCAGATCATCAGTCAATCAGGACACGGCGTGTTTACACTTAGCAACATCAAATGGCTTCTCTATCTGGATAACCAATCGGATCTGTATTTCCTGCGCAATATTTAACCCTCGTCCGTCCCTTGGGTCGTGCTTAAAAAAATATATTTTTTAAATCGAGCGTTGATCGTTATGTTATGAGACTTTTTTACATTTGTCACACTTGAACCGAGAATACATGAAAAACAATGTGAGTGAATTCGAGCAGTTTAAGTGGGTGCTATAAAAAAAGTATCAAAAGTGTAATTTTGACCCGCCACTGGAAAAGCATGGAATTTACTATAAAACTGCGGGATTTTTATTTAGGTGGCTGATGACATGTACAATGTCCAAAAGTATAAATCTCAGATTTAAAATCGCATTTAAACCTGGAAATAAAAGTTTAGAAAAAGTTGAAACAGAAATGTTTTAAACATTTAATATTCTACATTTTTTCTAGGTCACACATTGGCTGCGTTTACACTTGGCATTAACATGCGATCACTGTGGTCCGATCAAGCAGATCAGATCATCAGTCAATCAGGACACGGCGTGTTTACACTTAGCAACATCAAATGGCTTCTCTATCTGGATAACCAATCGGATCTGTATTTCCTGCGCAGTATTTAACCCTCGTCCGTCCCTTGGGTCGTGCTTAAAAAAATATATTTTTTAAATCGAGCGTTGATCGTTATGTTATGAGACTTTTTTACATTTGTCACACTTGAACCGAGAATACATGAAAAACAATGTGAGTGAATTCGAGCAGTTTAAGTGGGTGCTATAAAAAAAGTATCAAAAGTGTAATTTTGACCCGCCACTGGAAAAGCATGGAATTTACTATAAAACTGCGGGATTTTTATTTTTTTAAATTTTGTCACGCTTGAGCATGGAGCACACACAAGAAAGAGTCGATTCGAGGATTCTATGTGGGTGTAATAAAAAAAAGTATTACACCCACAAGTATTACATTAATTTTGACCCGGGTATAGCAATGAATGGAATGTCCGAAAAAAACAGCATTTTTTCATTTATTCGATTTTTTTGACTACAAAATCTGACACAATCCAGAAAAGATGCATACCCAAACAAAGAGCTGAGACTGCAGAATGTCCTCATTGCACAAAAAAACTCACATATCCGCACACACATGGCACACACCTCCCATTGAAATACTTAATTATAGCTTGTATGATGTTTTTGCTGGGAAATGACTGTCATTTTGAAAAAAAAAAATTTACTTAATGCAGTTAAATTTGAGTGATGGGGTGGAGAACAATATCATATTTATATTTTTAAATGTATATTTTATATTTATTACATATTTATGAAACTATGAATATGCATTTTTGGATTAAAATTCTGTATAAATTTCTTTTTTTTTTTTTTTACAAAATATAGTTTTTTTTAATGTTTTGATATGTATATCTGAAAGCCTTGAGATATATCTGAAGGCTTAATGAAGCCTCAAGCTCATTTAAGAATCTCCATAGGGTTCTATAGGCCCCTCTAGTGGCTGTAATCATAAAATGCAATTTTATGTAATTGTTTCCCACCAGATGGCATCAGAGACACTCAGTGACCTATAGGTCCTGATGGATGATCATGTTTAAAGTATAAATATGCAGAAATTGTCTTTTTGTTTTGTTTGTTTTTTTTGGTGAAAAATTTAATGTGAATAAAATAAAAACCTACATAAAAAATTAGAATTTTTTTTTATGAAAATGGACCAATATAAACTTTCTGGACCAAAAATAAAATCAGTGTCATTTTTGGCCTTCGGGTCATTTTGACCCGCGAGGGACACTTTTGTTATAGGTTCGGGAGGGACGGATGAGGATTAAATAAGTCCACAGAGGATAGCCTCAGTGCAAAGTTGACCTGAAGCGGTGGGATTTCTTTTGAAAACCATTTTCAGTCACGGGACATTTTACAAATCAAAATAAGTGTACGAGTCTCACTAGTGCTCCATGGCCTGGTGTTCTCCATCTCTTCTGACAGAAGAGGGGGTGGGGTTTTGTGTGACATTGACCTGCGAATGCAGACATAATGGCTGGATTTCGTTTACATTACACTGAGATCTGATCACTTGTCTTTTCAATGTGTATGTGGACAACATCCGGATACAGGTCACATGTTAATGCCAAATGTAAACACAGCCATCAAGTGAGCATATTGAACACTTGTAACATCAGAATGTTTAAATTCTTAAAATCTTCTGACTTCTTAATTAACTGGATGCAGGTGTCGGCTGCTAATTTGAAATTATACAGTACCAACTGATTAATCATCTGAGGCCACTTGTCTGAATTCACATTTTATTGCAATATACCTACTTTTTTTACCCAAAAAATTAAGCATATGGCTTTCTAGTTTATTTGTGGTTACATGATTGGTTTTTAACAGGTTCAAGAGCGCTGGCTACAGGACAACTTGACCTTACAAAAGCGAGTGGAGGATCTGAAAGAGGTGTCCAGGAAACGTGAAGACTTGGTTAAGGAGATGGGCAACATGCAAGTTCTGCAACTGCGCAAGTATGATATCACATATTATAGCTACCAAGTACCATTTAGGAAGTCCTGACAATTACACACTTTCAGAAGCTCAGAAGACTTACAAGTACCGAGTACGCTCTATAGTTACCATAACACTAGATTAATCCATCTCACTAACTGAATTACTTTACTGTAAACTATTTTGCATAGATCTTTACTAAGTGTGCAAGTGGACATCGAATTAATGTGAATCTTAAAAAAAATCTATCTTCTGTTGTCAAGTGAGTGGCAAGAAGTGGAACGAAAATTGGAGGACCTAAAAAAGAACCACAGTGTGGCTCTCGGTCGACAGAAAGGCTACAAAGACGAGATCCTCCGTTTTTGTAAAGAGCTCAGTGAGGATCAATATTGCCGGGCCGAGGATCTCTACAGAGACCAAATGATTGTGATGAGAAAAACAGAGTTGGCCAATAAGGACCTCGACATCTACTATAAAGCCCTAGACCAGTAAGTAGGGGTTTTCTGAAGGGTAGTTTCAGGTAGCGGTTTGTCAGAGTGTGTAGGTTTGGTTTTGATGTGGTTCAGCAGACAGTCAGCAGCAGTAATCAGCAACAAGCCATGTGCGCTTTTATCTAAACTAAAGGAAATTCTGACTCAGACTTTTAGCCCTAATGATACAGTTGAATCATCACTAACTGGTGGGCTTCATCAAAGGGACTCCCCAAAAACAGGATACAATGCTTACCATAGCAACTGTTGTAACCATTGCAGCAGTCATTTTGCCATCTTTAGGTGTTGACAGTATTAGAAAATATATTATATTGCAATATATACAAAATTAGGTCACAGATTTATTTCGATAGTCCACTTTAGACATTCTGTTAACAGCAAGTAACTTTGCAACTACATGTCAACTAGCAGTTAGTAGAGTATTAGTAGACTGTCTGCTTAATATCTTCTAACACTTTCTTTGTCAACTTATTCTACTAACCCTAAACCTACCCTAACAGTCTACTCTGAGAGTTAGTAGACATGTAGATGCAAATTAATGAGAATTAGTTGACATGTAGTTACAAAGTTATTTATAGTTAGTAGAATGTCTAAAGTGGACTATCGAAATAAAGTGTAACCAAAAATTATAAAGTATATACATTTTTATTAATTTATTGTTTTTTATTTATTTATTATTCAGAAACTACTGAAAAATTGTTTAACAGATTATTTTATACATAGTGATTTACATATGAGAATATGTCATTTTTCATACAAGCGTGAACAATACTCGCAGTACTGAAATCAGGGCTCGCAAAATTTCACAATCCCTGGTAGCCCTTTGGGCAGGCACTCTTCAGAGCTTGGTAGCCCGAAATGATTTTAACTAGCCCGAATAAAAAAAAAAATCTTCTTGTCAATCCACCAGTTCACATTTACAACTGTGTGTTTGCTGTGTATAAATCTGGGTCAATTTTCACAAAAACAGCAGACAGGCTTATTGAAAATGCAAATTCATTTTCTGCCAGCAGGTAGCGCATTTTGGAATGGCAAAAATATAGCGGTTTCCCCAGTAACTGCAGTACACAGTGCTCCGCTCATAAATGCTACCTCTTCAGGCATTACAGGCAAGATGGAATGAAAATACTATCGAAACTTATCTCAAAGTAGTTGGTTCCATTCAGAGATACATTAATATAAAAACACCCTCGCCGTGTTTTGACTTTCAGAGGTGCAGTGCTCATATTTACTAAAATAAATCTTTTTGAAGTTTAATCAACACATTAAATCACATTTCTTGTCTGTCTGTCCCCAAATTTAAGACCTTTTCAAATTATAATTAAGGTATTTAAGACTTTTTATGGCCTTATATTTGATGCATTTTGGTAGCTCGACTGGAAGACACAATAGGTCCGGGACATTGGGCTAGCAGTTTTGTGAACCCTGTGAAATACTTAGTAATTGTAAGCTAGACCACTAAAGATGCAGTAAAGTAAATTAAAGAAGATAGCATATTTTTATGTAGGTTTTTATGTGTAGGAAATGCCTTTGATTGATCATTTAAATGCTGATTGAAGAAGTCTGTCTTCAGCTCAGCTGTTTCTTAAAGGTCTCAGAGGAACAGGGAGACTTAAGATTCTGGGATGTGGCTTTTTACCACTTTATCATGGAACCTTCAGGTACCACTCACTCACTGACTGTAATGCACTAGAGGGATCATAGACCTGTACACGTGTTATAAGGTAGGAAGGTGCTGTTCCAGTTACAGTCTTGAAACCTTGAAATTAATGGAGGTGGCTATAGGCAACCAGTGGAGTGAGACCAAAAAGGGGTGTGAGATTTTTTGGCCTCACTTTTTGGTTGATTGAGGATCAACAATTATCCAGGACTAGTTTATAATATGATATGTCTGAAAGACATGCCAGCTTAGACGGTGGTGTTGTCAAATTAGAATGACAGATAGAGCTATGCAGAGAGTTTGTGTATATTGAGAATAGGACAGGACCAAATACCGAACCCTGAAGAACCCCAGTGGTTAGCTGATGGACTTGAATACCCTTCCCTCAAGGAAGCTTAAAAAAAGCAAATTACCTGTAGTAAAAGCTGTGTTAAAGATTTGTGATTGTGGGTAAAAGTGCTAGAGAAATATATTTTGAAAGATGTAGGTAAATAGGATGTAAAGGACAGGTGGTAGGACAGCTGTAAATAATTTTGAATCTGTCTTTATTGGCATTTTTACACACATAAGGGGCTTTCACACCGGAGGAACCTTTTCATAGTTCCTAGAACTATTGGCGGAAGTACCCACTTTTTGGCATGTTCGCACCGCAGGAACTAGGAAAGTATTTAGTTCTGGAAACTCCGTTTGGGAGAATTAAATTAGCTGTTACTTCAGAGCAGGGTCTAACAGTTCTATAGGAACTCTCAGTGACTTAAGTGTATGCTGACTCGCCAAATGCACATGAAACACCTGTTACCCGGCACATTTAAAAAGCCATGTAAAAATATTTACTCCACAAACATGGGAAACAGCAATAATGGCATTTAGCTGTTGTCTGCAGTATTTTCTTTTTTTTCAGCCTCGATAACACTGAAAGTTGTCATAAATTTAGTCTATAAGCCCAACTTTTTGCTCTTTCAGTCACATAAATTGTGTGTTTCCATTCCATCTCCGTTATCACGAAACCCACGACACACAACAAAAACAGCTCTGATCACAGCATCCCTCATTAACCGTATGTTGATGTTTGTAAATTATGTGAATAAAGACATCGCTGTCGGCCGCTTCAGAGTTCCTGCTGCCGGTGTGAATGCAACCAGGAAAACGGCCCGAGGGAGAAATTGGTTCTCTAGGAACCACCCTGCTGGGTAGTTCCTAGAACTAAGTGGTGCAAAAGCCCCTATAATTGTGGAAATAGTACTGAAACTAAATTCGGTTCCTTGTGGAACTATACGGTTTCTGATCAAATTCTAATGCCGTTTTTCCACCCAGGACATAGGGAAGCCAGAAATGTATTTAAATTTACTAAAAATGTACAGCTATTTAAACTACTTTATCGTCCAGCTACTGCCCAAGTTACGGTTCCAGTGGTGTGAGTGGGTTCAAGAGGTGGTGTACAACAGACTTGAAGTCGCATTACACCACATGAACATCCTGGCTTCTGAATGAATACACAATTTCAGCAATATTGCTAAAGCAGTAAGCATTAATATCAAAAACGTGGTCAAAATGATGTTGCTGGTTTCTCATGGAGGAATATACAGAGGAAGTCCTAAGTCATCATCATTGGTTTAGATCAGTATCGTCCTGTGCGTTCACAGAAGTTACATCAGCAGGTCTGTGGGTGTCTAAATCACTCTGGCGTCATCTGCAGTGCAGAGGCATTATCCTTACTTTTTCAGGAAATATGCCAAATTGTATGCCAAACCACAATATATTCTTACAAGGTTTCAGGGTTTGTCACATGGCTTCTAGCAAACTCTTGGATGTGGCCGATCATTGGATGAAAATCAATTTCTGTTTTCAGATTCGTTTTGGGGAAATTACAGTAAATATTGCATAAAATGTGATTTTATCCCCATTTTGGTTAACCATCCACTACATTTAATGTGGCTATTTATGAGCACAACCAAGGAAGATAAATTCATTGCATTGTACAAAGTACTTTCAGCCACTTGATGATCTTTTGCAATTGACAGGTTTAGTTTGACATATTTATTTATTCATATTCCATGAACCCTTTACAGTTTTTACTACAAATGGACCTATGTATTCAAGATAGCAAATGAAACACAAAAGGCCCAAACATAAACACAGAATTACACACCGCACATCTCTCTTGATCATCATCATTATTGTGCAGCATAAGCCAAGAGCAGAACTTAAATGCAGAACTACACTGCACATTGGCACTTGTTAGTCTTGTCAAGCTAGTCTGGTTGGTTCTGGTCCTCACAGACTCTCTTGTGGCACCGACCCTGGCATTAGAGGGGGAATACATACAGAAAACATTTCTTCCTTCTGAAATGGATAGTTGGATTTTGGATTTTGAATATTCAAGCATTCCAAAATATCTTCTAGGTATCTTCTCTGTCCATTTGAAAACCTGTATTGGTCGACCAATGGTACAGCAAAGCCAAACCTAACTGCTATAATCTCTATGACTGCTTGCCAGATATCTGTGCTTCAAAGATTGATTGCACATTTGCCAAGTCTGAGAATCAGGATTTATGAATTGTCACTTATCAAATTCTCTACAGCTGTGTACTTCAAACAGAGACTGTACATGGACAGCTGTCCAAAGAACTCTGCTTTCTAGGCTTCTGATTGAGTGCAGCCTAGTAAAGCAGTTTTCTTCTGATATAGACATTAAACCGGTGACCCGTTCTTCTCACCATGATACCATCATTGCTGTTTGTGCAGAGGAGTAGAGGAAGTGTGGCAATCTGATAGGACACACCATGCTTAGATGCAAGATTTCATCTAATATCAGTTCTAATAAATAGTTTTTAGAAAAAAAAGTCTTACGGTCAAAATAGCGTTTTACAAGTTTTTCAGGTTTAGTACTCTAACAGATAGTTCTAATAAATCAGTCAAATCTTTCTTCATTTGCTTTTATTGCCACTGTATTATTTTGAAAACGTATATGCATATGATAAACTACTTATATATATGGGAAAAAAGCAATAGATTAACAGGAAGGTTTCTTTTTTTGCTAACACGTTTCCTAGACACGAGTGGTTTATATGTTCAGCTTTGCATTTTGCTGTTGTATTGCTTTATATTGCATGTATTACATAAGTACTGTAATTAAAATTCTACTGATATCAATAAGATGTTTAAAATGTATTGGTATACATAGAAAATAACATCAAGTAAGTATTAAAATACATAAATATTACTATACATTAGTATACATATACACAACATCAAGATTAATAAATGCTATAAATGTATCTTTTAGTTCATCATTCTTAATGCATTGGACTAAAATCTAAATTATTTCCAAATTTCTTTACGATTTTGTCTAAATAATAATTACAGCTTGAAAAAAAAATCCCATCTTGAGATTTGCTGACGATTCGAGTTTTTGAAGATTTACTTGGAGTTTTAGATAGTGGCAAATGTATTTTATTTATTTATTTTTTATTACAGAACAATAAAGAAGTTTCACAGCATGAAGATGGAGGAGATTAATAAAATCATCTGAGATTTATGGTGGAGCACGTACAGAGGACAAGGTCTGCCATGATTGGTGCTTGACTTGATATATCCTATGCTGGATGAAAATCAATTTCTGTTTTCAGATTCGTTTTGGGGAAATTACAGTAAATATTGCATAAAATGTGATTTTATCCCCATTTTGGTTAACCATCCACTACATTTAATGTGGCTATTTATGAGCACAACCAAGGAAGATAAATTCATTGCATTGTACAAAGTACTTTCAGCCACTTGATGATCTTTTGCAATTGACAGGTTTAGTTTGACATATTTATTTATTCATATTCCATGAACCCTTTACAGTTTTTACTACAAATGGACCTATGTATTCAAGATAGCAAATGAAACACAAAAGGCCCAAACATAAACACAGAATTACACACCGCACATCTCTCTTGATCATCATCATTATTGTGCAGCATAAGCCAAGAGCAGAACTTAAATGCAGAACTACACTGCACATTGGCACTTGTTAGTCTTGTCAAGCTAGTCTGGTTGGTTCTGGTCCTCACAGACTCTCTTGTGGCACCGACCCTGGCATTAGAGGGGGAATACATACAGAAAACATTTCTTCCTTCTGAAATGGATAGTTGGATTTTGGATTTTGAATATTCAAGCATTCCAAAATATCTTCTAGGTATCTTCTCTGTCCATTTGAAAACCTGTATTGGTCGACCAATGGTACAGCAAAGCCAAACCTAACTGCTATAATCTCTATGACTGCTTGCCAGATATCTGTGCTTCAAAGATTGATTGCACATTTGCCAAGTCTGAGAATCAGGATTTATGAATTGTCACTTATCAAATTCTCTACAGCTGTGTACTTCAAACAGACACTGTACATGGACAGCTGTCCAAAGAACTCTGCTTTCTAGGCTTCTGATTGAGTGCAGCCTAGTAAAGCAGTTTTCTTCTGATATAGACATTAAACCGGTGACCCGTTCTTCTCACCATGATACCATCATTGCTGTTTGTGCAGAGGAGTAGAGGAAGTGTGGCAATCTGATAGGACACACCATGCTTAGATGCAAGATTTCATCTAATATCAGTTCTAATAAATAGTTTTTAGAAAAAAAAGTCTTACGGTCAAAATAGCGTTTTACAAGTTTTTCAGGTTTAGTACTCTAACAGATAGTTCTAATAAATCAGTCAAATCTTTCTTCATTTGCTTTTATTGCCACTGTATTATTTTGAAAACGTATATGCATATGATAAACTACTTATATATATGGGAAAAAAGCAATAGATTAACAGGAAGGTTTCTTTTTTTGCTAACACGTTTCCTAGACACGAGTGGTTTATATGTTCAGCTTTGCATTTTGCTGTTGTATTGCTTTATATTGCATGTATTACATAAGTACTGTAATTAAAATTCTACTGATATCAATAAGATGTTTAAAATGTATTGGTATACATAGAAAATAACATCAAGTAAGTATTAAAATACATAAATATTACTATACATTAGTATACATATACACAACATCAAGATTAATAAATGCTATAAATGTATCTTTTAGTTCATCATTCTTAATGCATTGGACTAAAATCTAAATTATTTCCAAATTTCTTTACGATTTTGTCTAAATAATAATTACAGCTTGAAAAAAAAATCCCATCTTGAGATTTGCTGACGATTCGAGTTTTTGAAGATTTACTTGGAGTTTTAGATAGTGGCAAATGTATTTTATTTATTTATTTTTTATTACAGAACAATAATGAAGTTTCACAGCATGAAGATGGAGGAGATTAATAAAATCATCAGAGATTTATGGCGGAGCACGTACAGAGGACAAGGTCTGCCATGATTGGTGCTTGACTTGATATATCCTATGCTGATTCTTTCTTTAAACACAAATATATTGTTGTTTACATGTCTCCTGATCTCTCCCAGACATTGAGTATGTGGAGATATGCTCTGATGTGGATGAGAACACCTCTGCTGGCCTGAAAAGAAGGACCTATAACTATAGAGTGGTAATGGTCAAAGGAGACACTGCTTTGGACATGCGTGGACATTGCAGTGCTGGACAAAAGGTCAAAAAGCCACTTCTCTAGAAAAAAAATGCATAGTTTGTTTGTGCGCTCATGCCACTCCATTGAAAAGTTATTTTCGGGTCACTCTTAGAATCGCCCCTGGATCTCCATTAAATGTAATGTACATAAAATAAGTGATGTATATTAAATGAAAACATTGTCTGCTGACAAAGCTGTCGTTAGATTTTGGAGCTGAGAAGAGATTGCTGACACTTCTTTTAGTCAAACCACACCTGGCTGATGGTTTTATTGGTTGATAGATAAGATTATGTTACTAGATCGGAATGTGTAACATGTGCAAAATAAAAGCAAAGTTGTCTATTTTTATTAATTACAATAAAATGTCTGTAATCTTTGGCTTTACTGCATGTTTGTTTGCAGGTTCTTGCCTCTCTCATAATACGGTTGGCTCTGGCTGAGACGTTTTGTCTGAACTGTGGGATTCTGGCGCTGGATGAGCCCACCACCAACCTAGACAGAGAGAATATAGAGTCTTTGGCACACGCACTGGTGGAGTAAGTCTTTATTTTAAAAAAATATATACAGGTGCATCTCAATAAATTAGAATGTCGTGGAAAAGTTCATTTATTTCAGTAATTCGACTCAAATTGTGAAACTCGTGTATTAAATAAATTCAATGCACACAGACTGAAGTAGTTTAAGTCTTTGGTTCTTTTAATTGTGATGATTTTGGCTCACATTTAACAAAAACCCACCAATTCACTATCTCAACAAATTAGAATACTTCATAAGACCAATAAAAAAACATTTTTAGTGAATTGTTGGCCTTCTGGAAAGTATGTTCATTTACTGTACATGTACTCAATACTTGGTAGGGGCTCCTTTTGCTTTAATTACTGCCTCAATTCGGCGTGGCATGGAGGTGATCAGTTTGTGGCACTGCTGAGGTGGTATGGGAGCCCAGGTTTCTTTGACAGTGGCCTTCAGCTCATCTGCATTTTTTGGTCTCTTGTTTCTCATTTTCCTCTTGAGAATACCCCATAGATTCTCTATGGGGTTCAGGTCTGGTGAGTTTGCTGGCCAGTCAAGCACACCAACTTTTGGGGCTGGTGTTTTGAGTTGATTAGCTGATTGGCATGTCACCATATTCTAATTTGTTGAGATTGTGAATTGGTGGGTTTTTGTTAAATGTGAGCCAACATCATCACAATTAAAAGAACCAAAGACTTAAACTACTTCAGTCTGTGTGCATTGAATTTATTCACAAATGTTTCACAATTTAAGTTGAATTACTGAAATGAACTTTTCCACGACATTCTAATTTATTGAGATGCACCTGTATATATAGCCAGTCTTTAAACAGGAAACTCTGTCTATTTACAGCTTGGGGAACATGATGAAACAACAACAACTTTAATTTGCTATGTAACTAAAACATCTACTTTTGTTTTTTTTGTAGGATAATCAAGAGTCGTTCTCGCCAATGCAACTTCCAGCTCCTTGTTATCACCCACGATGAGGATTTTGTGGAGCTCCTGGGACGGTCCAACTATGTGGAGCATTTCTACAGGATCAGGAAGAACCAGGACCAGTGCTCAGAGATCACGAAATGTAACATCAACACTCTCAACTCCTACCTGCACTGATGCATCAGATCAGGTGAGAGAAGAAAGACTGTTAGTCTACAGAGGTGACAAAATCAAAGTTCAGTTTTTGGACAGTTGTTAGGCATGACCTAAACATAATGTTTATCAGCATCCCTACACCTACCTACAAAAAGTGTATGTTGGCCTTCGTATAAATTTAGTTGACTTCTTTTTAGAAATATATACATTTAAAAAAAACAATCTGATTCTAATTTATTTTATGATCTGTTATGTTGGCATCAAAAAGTACTAAGCGCTGCTGATTGATTAAAAACAATAATTCATCATATTTAAACTAATCATGTTCAGTTTTTAATTAATGTAAAACAATATTCACATAAATCCTAACCATATTTAAATCTGCTCAGCCCTGGCACCAAACACATTATATAATGTTTATATTATTATATAATTTGGGGAAACACAGCTATTTTATGATGTGCAATAACAGATGCTTTGTTAATTGCATTATTTTTTTATGCATTTAACGGCAAATTTTTTATTTATTTTTTTCCCCACCCTAATTTGGATACTTAATTTAAAAATGTCTTTACATAATATCTGTCACTGTGAGGAGCACGGAACGAGGAGACACAGAGTCCAATTCAAACATACAGTCTTTAATAACATCTAGGGAAACACACGTAGCAAGGGTTGACATCAACAATTCCAGGCAAGGGAGAACAGAACGGGCTAGAACTCAAATAGGGCAG